TTGTGGGACTCGTTGTGTAGGCCATGTTCGGGACCCATCATGGCCACGGTAGGGATAGAGTCTGATTTTCAGGCAATTTTGGGTTGTTTCTGGGACACGATATATAGGCCATGTCCAGGATGCAGCAAGGATGCATCCTAACTTTTAGGTTTTTAAAGGCAGTTTCTGGAACACGGTGTGCGGGCAATGTTCGAAATGCGTCTGGGTCGCGGTAAGGATTCAACCTGGTTTTCGGGCATTTCTAAACAGTTTCTGGGACACGGTGTGCAGGCCAACCTGATTTTCACGTATTTCTCTACAATTTCTTGGACACGGTGTGCAGGCAATGTTCGAGATACGTCGGGGCTACTGCAGGGATGTAACATGATTTCCAGGCCCTTCTAGGCAGTTTCTGGGGCACGGTGTGCAGGCCATGTCCAGGACGAGGCAGGGACGCAGCCAAATTTTTTGGCATTTTAAGGTAATTTCTAGGACATGGTGTGTAGCCATAACCAGGACGCGTCCGGGGCACGATAGGGACGCCGCTTGATTTTCAGGCATAGCTGGGAAGTTTTTGGGCACGATGTGCAGGACGCGTCTAGGACGCGTCCTGGCCGCGGTAGGGACGTAGCATGATTCTCAGGCATTTGTGGGCACAGTGTGTAGGCCATATCCGAGATGTATCCTGGCCTCGGCAAGGACACAACCTTATTTTCAGGCATTTCTTGGCAATTTCTAGGACTCGGTGTATAGGCCATGTCCAGGACGTGTCATGGCATGGCAGGGACGGAGCCTGATTTTCAGGCAATTCTGGGTAGTTTCTGGGACACGGTGTGCAGGCCATGTCCAGGATGCAACAGGGATGCATCCTGACTTTCAGGTATTTTTAGGCAGCTTCTAGAGTACAATGTGCAGGTAATGTCCAGGATGCAACTGGGCTGTAGTAGGAATGCAGCCTAATTTTCAGGCATTTGTAGGTAGTTTGTGGGCACGGTGTACAGGCCATGTCCAGGACGTATCCAGGCCGCGGCTGGGACGTCACCTAATTTCCAGGCAATTTTTGGGACTCGATGTGTAGGCCATGTCCGGGATGCATCATGGCCAAGGCAGGGACGGAGCCTAATTTTCGGGCAATTCTAGACAGTTTCATGGACACGGTGTGTAGGCCATGTCCAGGATACGGCAGGGACGCATATAGACTTTTAGGTATTTTTAGGCAATTTCTGGAACACGATGTGCAGGCAATGTCCGGGACGCTTCTGATCCATGATGGGAAATGCGGCCCGATTTTCAGGACACGGCATGCAGGCCATGTCCAGGATGTTGCAGGGACACATCCTGATTTTCACGTTTTTCTATGTTGTTTCTTGGACACGGTGTGTAGGCAATGTTTGGGACTCGTCTGGGCTGTGGCAAGGATGCAACCTTATTTCTAGGCATTTCTAGGTAGTTTTCGGGGCATGGAGCGTTGGCAATGTCCAAGACGTAGCCTGAGTTTTGGGTATTTCTCGTCAATTTTTGGATCATGGTGTACAGGTCATGTCAGGGACACGTTCAGGCTACGGCAGGGACAGAGCCTGATTTCGGGCAGTTTTGGGGCACGGTGCACATACCATATTCAGGACACGTCCTGGCTAGGCGGGGACACAGCCTGATTTTCAGGCATTTCTAGGCAGTTTGTGGGCGCGGTGTGGAGGCCTAGTTCGGGATACATCCTGGCCGCGGTAGAGACATGACTTATTTTTAGGCATTTCTAGGTAATTTTTTGGGTATTAGGGTTTTTTGAAATTAATTTAGAATTAAAACCAGGAAATATATACGTGACAAAGAATAACGAAAATAAAATGTAGCTCAACGTTAGAACGCATGAATAATAAAACTATTCTACACAACAAAACCAAACTTCCCACCGTCGTAGTGCCACAAATAAACCCCTCTGTCGCCTTCAGACAAGTGCCATCGTTAGTCGGGGCTGGCGCTGGTACATGGTAGTGGTGATGGTGATGCTGAGGAGAAGGTGCCTATGCTGTAGATTGGTGGTCGAAGCCATGTTTATAGGATAGAACCATAACCTCTAGCTTTTGACCCTTCTGGCAATGTTCTTCAGCTCCACTGATGAAGAAAAATGGACTTGATTTTTCCAGTGAAATTGTAGTTTCTCCATCATGGTGTTATTTTATTGGATTAGCGTTGTTGTAGATTTTGTAGTCTTCCTCGGTCACTTCCAACACTGAATCACTCTTGGAATCATACTTTAGAACTAAAGAATCCCTGATCTGAAATCGTGTTTTCTTAGCCCATTTGTTGAACTCGTCAATAGAAGATGGAACTGCCCATAAATTATTTTCACTGCCTACTACGAACTCTCTTGCTTCAGAAAGAACACATAACAAAAACACGAAGTCCGAAAATAAGAAAATATTTTTGAGTTAAGCTATTTTAATCGAAAAATTGACCGATTTTCAAATAAAATTTGAGTAATTTTGTAGACAATAGAATAGAATGGTTTAGGGTTTAGGGTACAGGTGCAGGTGCAGGTGCAGGTTCAGGTTCAGGTTCCAGGGTCCAGGTTTACGGTTTAGGACTTAGGGTTTAGGGCTTAGGGGTTTTTTTTAACCAAATACCACTAGTGTGGTTTATTTTGTATAATGAAAAGCGAGAATACAACTAAAGGATGGGGCATAGACCCGACCTCCAGCAAATGTAAATTGTAACAAATATCTCAAGATAAAATGCAAACAAAATAAATAGGACACGAACAAAAAACTAGTGGAAGATACTCAAGGGTATTCCTGAGGGTAAATCATCAGGTGGTAGTACATAGACATCAATCGGGTCTGAAACATTTTCTGATCATAGTAGTCTGCGTTGTCTAGCTCGCTCGTTGGAGTGGGGTCTCACCTACGTGAAGGAGCCTGCTTTGGTGAAAAGTACTGCTCAGATGGTGGTGCACTGAATGTCGGGAGAAAAGCGGGAGCGTCTAATCTCATGGTACTCTGTGCTACAACATTTGAATCATGGGACCTGCTGACTGTAGGGACATCGTCCTCTGTGCACGTAGTCTCCAAGGCCCATGCCATCTATGTCTCTCTGTATATGATCTTTCACCTTATTTTGTGTAGGAGCTATTATAGAAAGATCGGGTGAAGGTGGTTTGAGGAACTTTCCTGGTACCTGATCCCTGTGCTGACTGAGTACCATCTGTGTGTGTCTTCAATGGTGGAGAACTGATATGTGTCGACTCAGGGGGTACATCAGTAGTAGCTTTGGGAATAGGAGCTATGGAAGTAATAATAGGAGAAGTGGGCACCTCAATAGGAACATTTGAGTAGGCTCAGTAATTGAATGATTATACGGAGGTGCCTCTGGATAAACTGTGATGGAGTAGATGTAGGAACTGCTGGTGCAAATAATGACTTTGTCACAACTGCGGTAGTAATAGTGGAAAGCACAGAAGGCACTGCTAAAACTAGCACCCACTATTTCTTTGGCTCCACAAACGTCACCTTGTCTTTATCCTTGTCAGTCCTAGTAATAGGGGGCTAAACAGGGAGATGCACAACAACTATAGGGGGAGGAGGAGGAATAGTAGTACATTGATCATAAGAATGGCCCAAGTGTTTACATTAGAAGCAAAAAAATGGTCACTTCTAATAAATAACTGTTTGCCAAAAGTCACGATTACCAGCACGCTCAATCGAAACACTCTCGGGCAACTTCTGCCTCAAATTCACCTCAATACACACCCTTGCCTCACTAGGGTGTCTCAAGTCAGAGGTGGCCTCATCGAGGTTTAGGGCTTAGGTTTTTTTTTTTTAAATTTTATTTTAGTAAAGACACCCACACATCCTTAATGACTTTTTAGGATCCACCAAGGAAGGTTGATGGGGGTTAAGGGTTCCCCAACCGTATTTATTTCATAAAAATCAAGAGTACAGGGAAAGAGGGGGCATAAACGTGACCTCCAAAAAGGAACAGTGCAACAACTAAAAAATTAAAAATGAACAAAGTAAATGAGGAAGTACTACTTGTACAAGAAAAATGCAATAAGGATAGCTTAAACTACAAACCTCTAAAGCTGGGCAATCCATGTTTGTCGATCTGCACCAATGCCCTAATCTGTCAAGGCAGGTCGAGGTTTAGCGCTTACGATTTAGGGTTTAGGACTTACAGTTTACGGTTTAGGGTTTATTTGTCTGAATTACAGCAAAATTCAGTTTTACAGATATTTGTAAAGTCATAGAATGTTTAACTAAGCTAAAACACAATAATTATAGGATAATAATTATTAACTAGATTAGAAGAAGCCATTGTATGGACTTAATTGAGGAGGCATCTGAGAAGATGAGACCACATCCATCAAATTCGTGTCCATTATGCTTCCAAACGTTGTACCTTGATCAATTGTTAGTAGATTTGTTGTTTAATTTACGTTTCCAGCATTGCCTCCATCCCATTGATATGAAAAGTACAACTCATCAGGATAAATCTGTAAAGCTTCAGTCTCCACACTTCGAAATTTAGAATTAAATTCCATTATTAAATCTGAATTCTCAGAAGGGAAAAATTTATTTCCCATAGGGTTTGGAGCAGAATGGAATAAGTCATTTTCCACATATTCTACAGCAGGCAGTTGAGAATCAGTTGTCTGTAAAATCTCTAGGAAAGTGAAGAAGATGGTGGGATGATTATAATTTTCATCAATGTTGAAGCTATAAGTATTCTCAGATGTCCCTTTAGCGGGATTCATTGGTTGACAATGATCGACTGGAATTGAATCGACGGACTGATTGTTTTCAAACAGGGTTTTAATGAAATCGATTTCGTCATTGCATGATCGAAACTGAAAAAGGGTGTAGAGTCGTCATCATCAGAGAGTGGTGTGCTAGTGTTGGACGGATTTGTTGTAGTGGTGGTGGTGCCAAAATTTGAGTTAGTGGAGGTGGAACCATTACTGAAATATTTTTTTATGATGTAATCTTGTAATACTGTTAACTGTCTTCTATCTCCTTTTACTTTCTTTATCTTCTCCTTGATATCTGCCTCCTTTTTGTGGCATTCCAGTGATTCTTTATTGAATATTTAGTTCTTCCAGGAATGTACTTAGCTATCTCCGCCCATCGATTTCCTTGTCCTTCATGTGCTTGAATTAACCATCTCTCTTCATCTTCAGTCGAAACGTCCTTCTTGATATGAGGACGCGGATGATTATTCCATCGCTCGCGACACTGTTTTCCCACTCTACCAACCATTTCTTTAGCTATTACAACCCATTTCCCCAATCCAAATTGAAGTACTAAGCTAATCAGTCTCCTGTCTTCTTCGCCTGTCCACTGGCCTTTTATCTGATATCGGGAAGAAGAACTACCATCTCTCTTCTCCTTCCAATCAGGATTGACCGGTGCGACCATCACATTTACTGAAAGATTTTCACCTCGAAGTTTGTTTTTAATGTTGAAGCCCTTCCATGAAGCTTGGCTCTTCGATGGTATAATTACTGGTTGTGCCATTTGAAGAAAAATTCTAAAACTGATTTACTTCATTAGAAGGAAAATGGTTTAGGCTTTAGGGTCTAGGGTTCAGGGTTTAGGGTCTAGGTCCGGGGTCTAGGGTTTAGGATCTATGGTCCAGGGTCCAGGGGTTAGGGTCCAGGGCTTAGGATTTAGAGCTTAGGGCTTACGGTTTAGGGCTTGGGGTTTAGGGTTTCTGGGACATGGTGTGCAAGACATATCCAGAACGCAACCTTATTTTCCAGCATTTCTAGGCAACTTTTTGGACGCGATGTGCAGGTCATGTCCGTGACGCGTCCTGGTCGCGAACGCAATTTGATTTTCAGGTATTTCTAGGTAGTTTATGGGCACGGTGTGCAGGCCATGTCCGAGAGACGTCCTGGCCGCAAACGTAATCTGAATTTTAGGCATTTCTAGGCAGTTTGTTGGCACGGTGTGTAGGCAATGTTCGGGACGCGTCCTGACCACGTTTGGGACGCAAGTAGATTTTCAACCAAATGAAGGAAGCACGGTGTGCAGGCCATATTAGGGGTGCAGGCATGTTCCCAGGCATTCTGGGCAGTTTTTGGGACACGGTGTGCAAGCCAAATTCAGGATAAGTCATGGCCACGGAAGGGAAGCAGCCTAATTTTCAAGCATTTTTCGACAATTTTTTGGCACTGTGTGCAGGCCATGTTCGGGACGCATCCTGGACACGGTAGGGACGTAGCCTAATTTTCAGGCATTTCTAGGTCATGGTGTGTAGGCCATGTTTAGGACGCATCCGAGCCACGACAGGGACGAAGCCTGATTTTTCAGTATTTCAGGACAGTTTTTGCGTACGGTGTGTAGACCATGTTCGGGACGCGTCCTGATCATGGCAGGAACGCAACCTGACTTCTAGGCATTTCTAAGCAGTTTCTGGAACATGGTGTGTAGGCAATGTCCAAGATGCGACAGGGAGGCAGCCTGATTTTCATGATATCCTAGGTAAACTCTGGGACGCGGTGTGCAAGCTAAATTCGGGACTCGTTTGGGCTGCGAGAGGGATGCTTACTAATTTTTAGGCATTTCTACACAATTTTTGGGACACGATGTGCGGGCCATGTCCTGGCCAGGGTAGGGATGCAACCTTATTTTCAGGCATTTTTAGGAAGTTTCTGGGTCACAGTGTCTAAGCCAAGTCTAAGATGCAGCAGGGATGTATCCTGATTTTCAGGTGTTTCTAGACAATTTTCTGGTGCACGATGTGCAGGCCATGAATCGGACGCCTCTGGGTGACGGTAGGGACGCAGTTTGATTTTCACGCATTTTCGAAAAGTTTTTGGGCACGATGTGCAGGCCACGTCTAGGACGCGTCCTGATCGCGGTGGGCACGTCGACTAATTTTCAAGCATTTGTAGGCAATTTGTGGTCACGGTATGCAGGCCATGTCCAGGAAGTATCCTAGCCGCGGTAGGGACGCAGGCTGATTTTCAGGCATTTCTTGGCAATTTCTAGGACTCGATGTGCAGGCCATGTTCGGGACGCGTCATGGCCACGGTAGGCATGGAGCCTGATTTTCAAGCAATTCTGCATAGTTTCTAGGACACGGTGTGCAAGGCATGTCCAGGATGCGGCAGGGATGCATCCTGACTTTCAAGTATTTTTAAGCAGTTTCTGGAACACGGTGTGCAGGCAATGTTCGAGATGCGTCTGGGCCGTGGAAGGGATGCAGCCTAGTTTTCAGATATTTCTAGGCAGTTTCTGGGACACGATGTGTAGGGCATGTCCAGGATGCTACAGGGAAACATCCTGATTTTCACGTATTTCTAGGCAGTTTCTTGGACACTGTGTGCAGGCAATTTTCGGGACGCGTCGGGCTGTTGTAGGGATGCAGCCTGATTTCTCAACATTTCTAGGCAATTTCTAGGATACAAGCCTTAGCTGAGACGCGTCTAGGCCACGTCAGGCACGTAGCTTGATTTTCAGGCATCTGTTGGAAGTTTTTGGGCACTGTGTGCAGGCTATGTTCGGGATGCGTCTTGACTACAGTAGGGACGAATCCTAATTTTTAGACATTTGTAGGCAGTTTGTGGGCACGGTGTGCAGGCCATGTCCGGGACGCAGCCAGATTTTTAGGCATTTCTTGGCAATTTCTGGACTTAGTGTGCAAGCTATGTTTAGGACGTCTCATGGCCACGACAGGGACGTGTCTTGGCCACGGTAGGGATACATCCTGATTTTCAGGCATTTGCAGGCTTTTTGTGGGCACGATATGCAGGCCATATCCGGGACATGTCCTAGCCGCGGTAGGGACGCAGCCTAATTTTCAGGCCATGTTCGATTTTTTAGGTAGTTTGTTGAACGCAGTGTGCAGGCAATGTTCGGGACGCGTCTGGGCTACGGTAGGGATTCAACCTTATTTTCGGGCATTTCTAGATAGTTTCTGGGACACGGTGTGTAGGTCATCCTAATTTTCACATATTTCTTAATAATTTCTTGGACACGGTCTGCAGATAATGTTCGGGACTCGTCGGGGCTGCTGTAGGGATGCAGCATGATTTCCAGGTCCTTCTTGGCGAGCAATTTCTGGAACACGGTGTTCAGGCCATGTCCTGGATGAGGCAGGGACGCAACCAGATTTTTAGGCAGTTTGTAGGACACGATGTGCAAGCCATGACCAGGACGCGTCCAGGCCACGATAGGGATGCAACTTGATTTTTAGGCAATTTTGGAAAATTTTTGGGCACGGTGTACAAGGCACGTCCGGGACGTGTCCTGGCCGTGGTAGGGACGCAGCTTGATTTTCAGGCATTTATAGGCAATTTGTGGGCACGGTGTGCAGGCTTTGTCCCGGACGCGTCCTAGCCTCGGCAAGGACACAGCCTGATTTTCAGGCATTTCTTGGCAATTTCTAGGACTTGGTGTGTAGGCCATGTTCGGGATGCCTCATGGCCATGGCAGGGATGGAGCCTAATTTTCAGGCAATTCTAGGCAGTTTCTAGGACATGGTGTGCAGGCCATGTCCAGGATGGGACAGGGACGCATCTTGACTTTCAAGTATTTGTAGGCAGCTTCTGGAGCACGGTGTGCATGCAGTGTCCGGGACGCGTCTGGGCCACGGTAGGGATGCAGCTTGGTTTCCAAGCATTTTTAGGCAGTTTTTAGGACATGGTGTGTGGGCCCTGTCCAGGATGCTGTAAGGACACATTCTGATTTTTACGTATTTCTAGGCAATTTCTTCGACCCAGTGTGTAGGTAATTTTCGTGACATGTTGGGGCTGCTGTAGGGATACAGCCTGATTTCCAGGCATTTCTAGGCAGTTTTTGGGACACGATGTGCACGCTTTGTCCAGGACGCGATAGGGACGCAGCCTGATTTTCAGGCATTTCTAGGCAGTTTCTGGAACACGATGTTTAGGCCATGACCAGGACGCGTCAGGGCTATGCAGGGATGTAACCTGATTTTCAGGCATTCTTAGGAAGTTTTTGGACACGGTGTGCAGGCCGCGTCCGGGACGTGTCCTAGCCACTGTAGGGATACAGCCTAATTTTCAGGCATTTGTAGGTAGTTTGTGGGCATGGTGTGTAGGCCATATCTGGGACGCATCCAGACTGTGGCTGGGATGCCAACTAATTTTTAGGCATTTCTTTGTAATTTTTGGGACTCGGTGTGCAGGTCATATCTGGGACGCGTCATGGCCAAGGCAGGGACAGAGTCTATTTTCATGCAATTCTGGGCAGTTTCATGGACACGGTGTGCAAGCCATATCCAGGATGCGGCAGGGACGCATCTAGACTTTCATGTATTTTTAGGCAATTTCTGGAACACAATGTGCAAGCAATGTTCGGGACGCGTCTGGTCCGCGGTAGGGATGCAGCCTGGTTTTCAGGTAGTTTTCGGGACACGGTGTGTAGGCTATGTCCAAGATGCTGCAGGGACACATCCTTATTTCCTCATTTTTCTATTTAGTTCTTGGACATGGTGTGTAGGCAATGTCTGGGACTCGTCTGGGTTGCGGCAAGGATGCAGCCTAAACAGGGGGATACACAATAATTGTAGGGGATGAAAAGGAACCATATTACACTGATCATAAGAATGGCCCAATTGTTTACAAGAGAAGCAAAAAATTGGCCGCTTCTAATAAATAACTATTTGCCAAAAGCCACGGTTACTGGCGCGCTCAATCCAAACCCTCTCGGGCAACTTATGTCCCAAATTCACCTCAATACACACCCTTACCTCACTAGAGCATCTCAAATCGGAGGTGGCCTCATCGAGGTTTAGGGTTTAGGGTTAAGGGTTTTTTTTTGCCTGAATTTTCCTAAGTTCTAACGAAGCGGCAGAATTCAATTTTACTGATATTTGTAAAGTCATAGAGTGTTTAATTAAGCCAAAACACAATAAATATAGGATAATAATTATTAACTAGATTAGAAGAAGCCATTGTATGGACTTAATTGGGGAGGCAGCTGAGAATATGAGACCATGTCCATCAAATTCGTGTCCATTGTGCTTCCAAAGGTTGTACCTTGATTAATTATTGGCAGATTTGTTGTTAAATTTACGTACAACTCATCAGGATAAATCTGCGAAGCTTCAGTCTCCACTCTTCAAATGTTAGAATTAAATTCCATGGTTAAATCAGAATTCTCAGAATGTAAAAATTTATTTCCCATAGGGTTTGGAGCATAATGGAATAAGTCATTTTCCACATATTCTATAGCAGGCAGTTGAGAATCAGTTGTCTGTAAAATCTCTAGGGAAGTGAAGAAAATGGTGGGATGATTATAATTTTCATCAATGTTGAAGCTATAAGGATTCTCAGATGTCCCTTCAGCTGGATTCATTGGTTGACAATGATCGACTGGAATTGAATCGATGGACTGATTGTTTTCAAACAGGGTTTCCATGAAATCCATTTCTTTATTACATGATTTGAGACTGAAAAATGGTGTAGTCTTCATCACTAGAGAGTGGTGTACCGGCTTTGGATGGATTTGCTGCAGTGGTGGTGGTGCCAGAATTTGAGTTAGTG